AGAGGTCCGTATTTGCTCTGCTCCCAATTTGTTTAACGTCTCTTCGAGAATGTTTCACTCATACTGAGACGCCACCACTTTCCGATGGAGGGCTGCAAATGTAGACATGTACTCGGCACTTACGGCCTTTGAGCAGTGAAGGATCTTGATGTTACCCGTGACCCTGTAAAAGATTATTTATAAAGGTATCTGTAGCAGTCCTATAAAATGCATAACATACATGTATGTTCTGTATAAGCTACTTGAAGACAGTTTCTTAGGCTGCATTGCATTATCGAAATTTTTGAAATCTGGTCGGACATCACTACCGAAATTTTTTTTTTCATTTCCAAAAAAAAAAAATTATGATTGGTTGATTGTTTGTTGTTTTACGTCCCATTCGGAAATTTTTCACTCATATAGAGAGGCGAAGGGCTTCAAATTTAGACCTACACTCGGTACTCATGGCCATTGAGCAGTAGGTCATCTTTATCGTGTTAACGCCTACCGTGAAACGGTACCTCGGTTTTTAAGGTATCATCCAAAAGAACCGTGACTTTCACTTCTTATGCCCCAGGCGCTTGGCAAAGGATTAGTCACTAATGTTTATAATTATGTTTGACGCGGCGCAGCGAACAAGAATCGAACCCGGGCCTCTCGATCACGAAGCGAAAGCCCTATCACTAGGCTACCGTGACCGATCATCAAACGAATATAAGGCATCATTACCGAAAATTCAAAATGCGGCATTTCACTCGAAGTTCCAAGCCAATTTCTGTATGTCATCCACTATCCTTTTATTTGTACCAAGCAGATACAGACAACAGCAGAATAGGGGATACTGCATCCAGAATTACATTGACCATGTTTATTGAGACGTGTTACGTCAGCGATTGTAAATATTTATCTATTAAATAGTGCTGAATTTTAATCTATCCTTCTCAAAGTCCTCTTCACTTAATGTGCAAGTGAAACAATTAAGACTGGTTGTAATGGAAGAGGTACAGAAGTTAGATAATCGGAAAAGCTATACATTGATTCAGAAATTGACTAATAAAATTTTCGGTAATGATACATAAATATTAAGTTTTGATGAGATTTTTTTTTTTTTTTGTGTGTGTGTTTTTTGGTAATGCAATATAGATTTTCGGTAATGCAAGATTGCGTTTCTTATAAAACTCTTAGTTTGCAAAAACAGACAGAAACTTACAAATGCCAAAGCTATTGGATTTGGGACTTCTCTGATTCCTTCAAAAAAGTATGTTGTACAAATGAAATCGACTACCTTTTAAACATAAGAATGTTTAGGGGAAAAGACAATAATGCATCTATATTTATAGTAGATATAGTTTTATACGATTACACAGTGTCACAAAATTGAGCACACTGAAATTTCATTCTGCTTAGGTAAAGCAAAGCTTAAGATGTATGCAATTTTCACTTGCTGGTAACTGCATAGGAAGAAACAATGGTAGCTGCATTTTTCATTGGTGCGAAATGTCTATAACAATTAAACACTTTTTTCTGTCTCTGATTTACCTATATTTATCTGTATTTTACCAAGGTCTTGTAAAAAAAAAAGTGAATATTTATGTCTCAGACCAGTTAAAAAAACATTCTGACTGTACACACAAATACTCTGAAGTTGATATTAAAAAGATGCTTGAGTTTCTGATTGACAATATCTATGTGGTTTTCGGAGACCAGGTCTTCCAACAATCTGTTGGCATTTCCATTGGTACCAATTGCACCCCGTTGTTAGCAGACCTATTTTTTTATTCATATGAAGCAGAATTTATTCAAAATCTTATACAAGAGAAAAAGAAATCTCTTGCTGTGGTCTTCAACTCCACATTTAGATATATCGACGACGTATTATCAATTAACAATAGTTATTTCCATTTATAATTATGTCGACACGATATATCCAAGTGAGCTTGAAATAAACACCACGGAGTCTGACACATCTGTTTCGTATTTGGATATTTTACTGGAAAAAGACGTTAATGATAATCTAACAACAAAGCTTTATGATAAACGTGATGACTTTAACTTTTCAATCGTCAACTTCCTTTACTTATGCAGCAATATACCCTTATCACCTGCATATGGGGTGTATATCTCTCAGTTGAATCGATACAATATCATATACAATATGAAAAATTTCTAAAACGAGGCAAGTTACTGACAAACAAGTTGATGAAACAAGAATATCAAAAGTCATGTTTAAAGTCATCATTTCGTAAGCTCTATGGTCGATACAATGACCTTGTCAGCAAATACAATTTCTCATTAAGACATATGCTGACTGACGTTTTTCAAATTAATTGTTATGTCATTATTTACACACTTAATTGTCGACGGATTTTTCCGTTATTTAGTGATCATGACAAGGAGCACATGGCGGGTGTGACCGGTCGGCAGGGGATGCTCACTCCTCCATGGCACCTGACCCCACCTCTGTTTTTGGAGGTCCGTGTTTGCTCTGCTCCCGATTTGTATTATTTTAATGGACTTTGAGCTTGAATACTGTTCGTTATCTCCATATTTCACAAGTCTATTTTTTATTTATTTCATAGATCTATTAAGGATCAAAATAGTGTATGCTATTTTTGTTTCACAACACATGGAAAATTAACTTGTTCACCCCAAGACGAGTGAAAGGCGAGAACTGGGTAAATATTCATATCTAAATATCTAAATATAAATTACATATAAAATTAAATTAATAAATAAAAGATAAATATTTCATTAAATAGATAATTTTATTATTTACATTAAATGCATAATTAGATGAATAGGAATATTAATTTATTCATCCCAAGTCAAGTGAAAGCTGAGGAAATTAGATTGACTGGATCACTTTGAAGAGCATCTTATAAAATAGTCTAACCTTGTTAAATTTTGCATAATATAAAATGTGATAACTTTGCTTTTTCTTTTGTTTTCTTATTTTCCATGTCCAGCGACTATGGTATAGATTATAACAACTAAGTATTTGTTTTACCTGGACAAAACCCAGGATAAATTAAAGTCCAGCAATTTGACATCATACACAACTGCTTTTTCGATAAAAATGAAACTCGTAAATTTACATACCTTATCATTGGTCATATGCAAAATTATTTTGTTAAAAAACATTCTGATTGTACACACAAGTACAAGATGATAGTAAAAGATGTTTGGGTTTCTGATTGACAATATCTATGTAGTTTTTGGAGATCAGGTCTTCAAATAATCTGATGGAATTCCCATGGGTACTACACTGTAATTGCGCCCCGTTATTAGCAGACCTATAGTTGTATTCCTATGAAGATAATTTATTCAAAAATTTCTACTTAAAAAGAAGAGATCTCTTCCTTGGCCTTCAATTCGACATTTAGATATATCGACGACGTTTTATCAATTAATAATATACATTTCCATTCCTACTTTGATTCCATATATTCCTTCCAACTCGAAATAAAAGACACTACAGAGTCTGACACACCTGTATGATATTTTACTAAATAAAAAAATTAATGGCAAAGCTACTACAAAACTTTATGATAAACATGATGACTTTCTATGTTCAACTTCCGTTATGTATGTAGCAATATACCATTTTTACCTACATTATGGAGTTTATGTCTCCCAGTTGATTCGATACGCAAGAAGATGTTCTACGCGTAGGAACACTTTCTAAAACGAGGCAACTATTGAAACTGAAATAAGTTGATGATACAAGGATATCAACAGTCTCGTTTAAAATCAACATTATGCAAATTTTATGTTCGATACAATGACCTTAAGCTTGTTAGCAAATACAATTTATCGTTAGGTCAAATGTTGACTGATGTTTTTCAGAAAAATTGTTATTAGGCCATTAATTAATGTCACATTGAATTGTCTACGGATTTTTCCGTTTGCCCAATCATGACAAGGAGCACACGGCGGGTATGACCGGACGACAGAGGTTGCTAACTCCTCTATGGTACCTGATCCTCTCTGGTGTTTTTAGAGGTCCCTGTCTGCTCTGCTCCCGATATGTATTGTTGCAATGGATTTAAGCTTGATTTATCTTTATATTTCATAGCATTGGTCACTTGAGTAACACAGGTGACCTCATGATGACTAATAATCGTTTACCTTCTGTGAGTGCAGGGTTTCATCCATAATCAAATTTCCACTTAACAGTTTTCCAATTAAATATTTTATAGCTTAAATGCGATATTTCTTTAGTTAAAATAAATCAGACAATTCGCCAACAAAATGAAATCTAAAAACCTTTGTCTAAACAGTTCAGAAATAAAAGAACTCGATTTGGAAAGCTTAAGATACTTAGAGTGAAAGAGATCTATTAAAAATTAAACCTGGCAACTGATGATTTTGATGCAATATCAACAGAAGTCAAGTTCAAAATCGACATTTTACGTGAAGTTTTGAGCCAGTTAATACACACTGTGTATCAAAGGCCTGCCTCTCACGTTTGAAAAAAAAACAAAGTTACATGTCAATATAAAAATTCTTGACAAATAGAGGTTCAAAAATAAAACAGTATGAGCAGCAGTTTTCCTATCTGATAGGTTTGTTTGGTGTAAAATTATTTTTTTGTCAGAAAAAAATGATTTATAAACTTCTGTTATTCACATCATTGGAAGACCTATTCAGAAATTATGATCGGCGTAAAATTATTACATTATTGTCTATCTCTACAAAAAATGATTTTCTATATATACATGTATAATATGGTAACTGTACATTACTATAATGAGAATAAAATGTTTCTTCAGATAGAGATATCATACTAGCACATTTGTACACAAAAATACTGCAGCTTGTATTGCATTAAGGGAGATAAGCAACCACTGATTTAATTTAATAAGTTTAAAAAAAATTTGTAACAAGCAGTGTGCAAGCAAAATGTCAAATTTCTTTGTTCAGATATACAGAGTCTTAAGAATGCAAAAGAAGACAGGAAAGTGATCCCCATATGTGCCAACCACTGATTTAATTTAAAATCAAAAGAAAACAACCCTTAGTAAAGTTTTGAAAAATAATATTTAATTAGGTATTTTTTGGAATATCAATGTTTTACAATAATAAATACACAAGATTACAATAAATAAATATGACAACACATCAATAGGAAAAATTGTTAGAAAATTGATAAATTGATTGAAAAAAACTCTTTCAAAGGCTACAACAATAAATTTGTTCAAAATGTTCGCGACACGTAAAGCATTGGCTTGCCTACACTACCAATTATCTTACACATGCTGCACATATATGTGAAATTTGATTTGTCAAACACACAGACATGTTATGTCTAATTCCTCCCAAGACTTTGATTCTTTCCATAAATATGTAAGCAATACACTATAAGCTGAATAATAACAAAATGTAATTTTCATTGTTTCATAATATAAATCTAAAATTCCTATGTTAATATCATCTATCAATACATGTATTCAACTAAATATAGTACAACATTTTTATTTTCATGTTGTTTCAACTTTATACGCTGTCATTTATTAGTGCATGTATTAGTATTTATAATACTTGATTAAAAACTAGAACTTTATATTAATACTTGTTTCATTAAAACACTTAAAGTATGGTGTTTCATACAATAACACATAATCATCAGAATTCAATTTTCTAATAATTAGCAATAAACAGTAAAATTGTTGGACGTACACCACAAGGTAACAAAGAGAGAAAATTTCTATTTTTGAGAAGCTATAAACATACAATTTAATTCAACTCTCACAGAAATACACTCTCCACCCATACTTTATAACATTTCTACTTAAGACCTACACATAACAGCACAAAAAATATCACATACTGTAAAGAAAACAGTCTTTAATTTTTTTTGAAAAATAGATGAAAAATTAATAATTTGAAGAAAAAAAAGCTTAATGAGTTACCTTTCCTTCCCAAACAATTTGTTTTGTTCCAATATCAAATAAAACTAACATGCTTATGTGGGTTTATTTCCAAAATATGAGAGTAAAATATAAAAGAAGGATTGTCTACATTTAGAGATTGTTAATTCCAGAGTATTAACTTATCTTATAAATTGCAATATCAATAACAATATTTCTTATGAAAACATAAGGGAAACAAAAAGTTGTGTAAATTTTGGTGGTCAGCATAGGAAATACATGTACATGTATTAGTATGAACTATTTCATGATCCACAATTAAGAGCTGTTTAAGGTACAAAAAAGTATAGTTTTATAAAATCTATCCAGCCCCTTAAACAGTGCTTGTAAACTTTGGATATGGCAATGAATTACAAACAATAACAGCTTTATTTTGAATCATTAATTTTAAAGGTTTTCATCTTGGCTCAAACAAAAAAGTCAAAAACAGAAAATATTGCACACTATCATTGTACAAGAACACATTGTTTTGATGAATTGGTCCAAAAAATTGTAATATTCTGAAGGGGTCTAATTTTCCCTGTGGAAATTTCAATTCTAAAAAATTTTTTTAGCCTTAACTTATTATATTCTATTTTAAAGAAAAAAAATTAAAAATGAAAACTAAAAAATAAACCTTCTATCTATCAAACAATTTAAATTTGTGCATCACAGCTCTTGAGATAAAATTATCTACTATTAGCTAGCATAAAATGAATGATATACATACTAAAAATACCCAAAGCAAGTACCAGCAACTGCCCTCCACTCTGAACGTTCTCCGAGTCATATAAATAATGACAGTCTTGGTCAGAGTTAAGAGTCAGGTCAGTTACCGGTGCCAGTCAATGGCCAACTTCTGGCGATTGACATGATGAAAAAGAAGTCAACAAGTGTAAAAATGCCAAGACAACAACAACTGACAAGGAATGTATTAACAACTACAGGTCGTAGTTAAAAGTATTATACACCATGCCGAACAACATCTATACAGCTCGGCACAAAAATTTATTCTCTCGGTCTAAAGATTCCACAACAGCTGCACCATTATCAAGAAGTGCTAAAAAGTACCAAACATATTGGGCAGTGCAATAAGGTATTCAGGCCATCTGTTTGGTAATATATTAAAATAGACAACAACAAAAAAATGTAGCTTGATAAATAAAATGGTGCTCTTACTTCCAAAGAGCTGTGCAAAAAGTGTTTTTTTTTAATACTCAGTCAATCAAAATAACCCATTCCACTTGAAAAGTTTAAGATCATACAGTGTATTATATTCATTAAGTGTTATAAAGATATTTTGATCATTTTTTTTTTTTTACAGAAGACCCTTAAGTTCCATTTACCCTCTGTTTAATTGCTAAGAATATAAATAAGTAACAAAAATTGGTAACAATAAATATGAAATAGACTCAATCTACAAGTTGACAGAGATTCAAAACTGCTACTACACCAGGTCATTCACTGCCCTACATAGTGCCGCTGTCAAATTAACGCCTCAATCTGAAACTCTTGTAGATCCCCCACAAAACACACATATGCTTCGCCTCAAGTCCCCCACAAGGGTCGTCAAGGAGTTACATACAATACGACCAATGGCAGTCATTTAGGACTTTGTTTCTGCCTGATGACTATGGTCATCTTTGTTCATGGCTAACTTCTTCATCTGTCTAATCACTGCTGTGGCATTGTATGCTTGCTGTAATGATAAAAATATCCAAAAATTAACACAATCACATGATGTAGTTTTTAAATAACAAATAATACCAAGTGACATTACATGCACCTTTTTCTGACCTTTTAAATGATTTAAAATCATTAACTTCTACAGGTTAAATAGTAAACATTCAATGAATGTTTGCAACTTTTCAAATACGTCTTGTAGCTGTGAAAATTTTGAAATGTGAAATCACTGGTTATGACAGATCTTATTTTCCATGCTTTTCTTACCCCTTGATTACAGAAGTCAATCAATGCAGATTAAGGTACTCCATTATCAGGTTTCAAATTTCACAACTTTAAAATTGCACTCAATTGCCACCAAAATTTACTTTTCAAAGTATCTCCCAATGTTACCGTAAGCATTATGGATTTTAGATCAAGTGAAACCTATTCACATGCACTGGGAGACACATTTTGTGTCAGAATATAGACAGGGTGTTTGATTACACAGTGTAAAGAGCATAAGAAATGGTAAAATGGGCATGAAGGTCAGAATTCACAGTGAGACAGATTGTACAGGTGTTGGATTAGACAGTTTTCACTGTACAAGCCCTCTCACGATTTGGTTTCCCTTTAGATTCAATATGACAGTGTTTTTACTGTGTATGTTTTTTTTACCTTCCACTTCGTTTTTGCAAAATTCTTCCTCATTTGTTCACTGACAGAAGCATGGATATCTTTCTCTAATGCAGTGTTACCAGAGATCCTGTAAAATAAAAAAATGAACAAATCTCCAAATTCCTGGAATTTAAAATAACTTCAATTTATGCCATTTCCATAAGACAAAACTGAAAAATTATTATGCAACAATTCATGCATTTTCTTCTGATTTTTTGCTGTCAATTTTACAATTGTGTCTCTGAAATATGAAGATGAAATTCTAATGCTTTTATCACAATATAAATGCAATTCTAATGAGACAACACAGATAAATGTGCAATTTTGTAAAGATGACACAGCTTCAATTACCAGAATGCAAGTAGGAATTTAATTTTCAAATATCATTTGTGATTACCAGTACCTAACCAGTCAATGCAACACACTGGAGAAATTAGAGTATCATACCACAAGCACATGATAATTGATGTCTTTTAAATAAATTTGCATTAACTTTTATAATATGAAGGCCATTCTTCTAAAAACTTAATTTGTGACATAATATGTAAATCCTCCTCATCAATACTGAGTTAGCTTGAATGACTGACAAAATTTCAATTAATAAATGGCAGGGTCCAAAACAAGCAGCCATAAATTTCAACACGAGACTGGTTATCCAGTAGTCAAAATGTAATCCTTGTTTTAAATCCAAATAGTAAATGCATAACATATCATGAAAATAGATTAAGCTGAGATTTTTTTTTTAAACAATAAGAACCATTATTATTAAAAAATCAAAATTAAGAAAATGTTTGAAAAAAGACGTTTTTAGATAACTTATTTGATGCCCCCCCCCCCCCCCCCCCAAATCAAAATTAAAAAAAAAAAGAGATTTGCATATGAAAATAGAATTACAGGTCCAGAGTTGTGATAATGTTGAAATGGCTAACTACCTCAAACTAATGTCAGGTTTTAACTTTAGAATTCATACAGTGAAAAAACCCTTATTCTGAAAAATATATTCATTATATGACACCGTAAAAGTGGAAACTTTGACGATGTGGAAATGTTGACAAAATTGACGAATGAATGAAAATTGTCAAAGTTTCCACTCATTCTTGTTAAACAGCACTGTAAAATCCTATTAAATCATCACAGTTTTCACTCGCCATATTTCTATAAAATCAAAATCGTCAAACTTTCAACCCTTCAATAAAACCACGTTTAAAGAATACTTTCTCCCTGAAGTAAAGTATATTTATATCAATATTCAGTAATCATACTGTTACAGTACATATATTTATACTTGAGATGATCTGCTTGTGCTTGTTAAACATGATGTCTTTATGACAGTTCGATGTAGACTTACCATGGATAAGATAGTGCCTGTTTACAGGTAAATCTCTGCTTCGGATTCTTGCACATTAAGTGTCGGATGAAGTCCTTAGCTGAAAAAGATACAATCATACATATAATCACTCTAATGTTTCTTGCTTTTTAACAGTATCTTGTGACTTTTCATTGAAGAAAAGTCAAAGATTACTTCGCCAAAAGAAATTTTTGTCTTTTAACTAAATTTAAATTAGCAAAAAATGAAAAATAAATGTGTTTGTGAAACATTTTTTCCATAGCTGTGGCAAATTTTTGTGATAAGAAAATTTGTTCTTGACTTTATATCTCATACAATAATATTATTTATTACATTTTCAACAGTGAAATTCTGTGATTTATTTATTGAATAAAAGTGATATTCTCTCACAGTGTGAAAGGATACCAAAACGATATTCTCTCACAGTGTGAAAGGATATCAAAGTAAGTAAAAATTATTTCTGGCCTGTCATAAGATAGAGCTAGTAACTAACAATCTTGATAGAGCTAAAACGGCAAATTTCTTCCCAAGTATGTTGCTAAAATCCATGCTATGTAACGTTTTCAATCTCACAACTGCTAAGCTATGACGTCTCAACCGCTCAACTATGACGTCAAGCCTATGACACTATGTTAAGAAAATTTAAGACAGAGGCAAAGGGAAAATCAAAGAAAATGTAATAAACAGAAAATTCAATGTTTTGTAGATGAAAATGGAATTTATTTCACTCGTGAGACAGGATTTTTTTTTTATATTTTCACTCGTGCTTCGCACTCGTGAAAATATAAAAAAATTCCTGTCCCACTCGTGAAATAAATTCCATATTCATCGACAAAACATTGAATATCCTCTATTTATCACGTTATACTCCTTTATACAGTGGATATAGCTCATAGGATATCATTTTCATATCCACGGTTGTGACGTCACAATGGTTTTTGGTGAATTTAGTCAAGTCAAATATTGTGGATTCACATGTATAAACAGTATAAAACATGAAATACCTGTGTAAAACATGTGATATAAAGAATATCCCATGGTTTGTGGTTAGATATGATTTTTTATCGAACTCGTTGTGTTTTTTTATCCCCTCGCCAAGGCTCAGGGTTAAAAAAACAAGAGTTGGATAAAAAATCTTATCCAACCACAAACCATGGGAGACCATATATATATATATATATATATATATATATATATATATTAGGGATGGCAATTTGTAATCGGTTAACCGGTTACTCGGTCGGAACCATGGTAATCAGTTAGAAAATCTGTAATCGGTTAGTCGGGAAAAAATTAATATATGTGTAAATTTGAATACAATTTCCTGAAAATTCAATTTAAAAATACACATAAAATTTTCTGAAATGTTAGCATGTCCACCTATTCAAGTTGATTCAGATATAATTAAGGCTCTAAAGATTGACATCGCGTGGGGGTAATTGGTCACTTTTCGAGTCGTTAATTGCTGTTTAAACACATGTCGTTACCCACCCTGTCCCGTGTTTCTTTAATGATTTTAATTAAACGATTGTTGACTTCTGTTACCCTTCCTGGTTAATGTAAACTGTACACTTTTGCATCATGTATTTTGTTTGACATTGATGTTGTATTTTCTCTATGTTGTTTTACACAATGTGAGAATAAATTGAATTGAATTGATTATAATGTGTACACAACCTCTTCTATCCTTTGCAGTTACCTATCAAATTATATTCTAAAACAAACATCGTAAGATAATCGATAATTCACATTAAATTTTGATTATGGTGAAAATGCAGAATGACATCTTTTCTGAATTTTTTTAATGCATCTGCGACCTCAGGATGTTTCATGGGTTTCTTACTTTTTTCTCTTTTCTGTTTTTCCTCTTTTTTTTTTGGCCCATTAAAATTGAAATAAAATATATGTAGTATTCTGATCATATATAAATATAAGCATAATACTAGAAACTCATTGCGAGCAATGAGAGGTCTTCCGTCCGATTCTGAAAATAAAAGCGAAAATTCAAGCTGAAAAAGTGATAAAAGAAATTCAGACACTCTGGAGATTTAACCCTAATCGTCAGCGTGAAAATCCAACGTGCTAACCATTAACCATTCACTTTTTTACATCACTTCATTTCACGACCGGAAGTAACGGCGATGCAAGATTTTCTCACGATTCAAATAAACTGATAACTGAATATCAGTCCTGAAAGTTTTAGTCCTCAGTCATTTACTGTTGCGGAACAATATTGTGGGACTAAATTCTAATTTTGAGAACAGGTAAACACACAACCGGAAGTGAATTTTATAAAAATCTCTGACTGTTCTCTAGACATTTGCAGTATCTACAACATGCATAAAATCATTTCAGGTACTTCATCGATAAGCGATATTTATGAGAAAGTTAAATATAAGAATAATGTAGTTTATCTCCTAAAACCGGAAGTTGACGTTTTTGTTTCCGGTGGAATCTAACATATTTCAAAGCAGCAAAAGAGATGCAATAAAGTCATGTAAGTTTTAATTTAAAAAAGAAAAGTTAAAATTTTTGATTTCTTTGATCACTTCCTGTGACAAGCGGAAGTGACGACTGACGCGTTTAACCAAAATTGTTTCATCTACCCCTCAATGTCCATTACTCTTAAAATTTTGGTGTTTTAATCTTTTACCTGTTTTTGAGATCTCGCTCAGACAACTTCTCATTTTGAGGACAGGAAAACACGTGACCGGAAGTGAATTTTTGAAAAAATATTTAAGGTTACTCTAGACATTTGCACTCTGAATAGCATATTTAAAATTCATTTCAAATACTTCATCTATAAAGAATATTTACGGGAAATTAAAAAAACTCAAATTACATGTATTTAGTTTTTCTCTTCTATCCGGAAGTTGTCGTATTTGTTTCCAGTGGGACGAACATCTTTCGAATCTGCGAAAAAGATGCAATAAAGTGATGCATTTTTAGTTAAAAAAAGAAAAGTTGAAATTTTCGATTTCTTTGATCACTTCCTGTGACGACTGGAAGTGACGTCTGCCACTCTTAACCCAAATGGTTTTGCCTACATCTTAAGGTCTGTTGCTCATAAAAGTTTGGTGTCATAATCTCTTACCGTTTCCGAGATATTGCTCACACAACTTCTCATTTTGAGGACAGAAAAACACGCGACCGGAAGTGAATTTTACAAAGATATTTGACGTTACTCTAGACATTTTTAGTCTGAATAACATATTTAAAATTCATTTCAAATACTTTATCTACAGAAGATATTAATGGGAAAGAAAAATACTCAAATTATGTAGTTTTTCTCTTCTTACCGGAAGTTGACGTTTTTGTTTCCGGTGGGACCAACATATTTCGAAACTACAAAAGAGATCCAATAATGTGATGTAAGTATCGATTTAAAAAAGGAAAGTTGAAATTTTACGATTTCTTTGATCACTTCCGTAAGCGACCAGAAGTGCCGACGACGAACGAAAAGTAGCGACCCGGCTAGTACCTATCACGAACTATAATCCCTGAAAGTTTGACATTGATATCTTTTGTCGTTCTTGAGATTATCCGCGGACAAAATGTCATTTTGAAATCAGAAAATGGTCTGTAACTTGGCACCGGAAGTGAATTTCCAAAAAATCTCTCAGATAGATCAAGTTCATGTTATAACACACTTTTCCTGAAAATTTCATGTAAATCCATCCAATAGTCTTCGAGAAATCGCGTGCACAAAATTAGAAAGTCAAAAAAATAAGAATAAGAATAATAATAATAACTAGATGAGATCTCGTTGCGAGCAACGAGTAGGTCTTCCGTCCGATTTTTCGATAAGATGAGATATGATTTTGACTATGATCTTTGTTAAAAGATAATAATATATAGACTTCCCTAATTAGATTTCATTCTTTTGATTTATATAACATTATCAAAGAGCTATAAATGACATGCTTTTGGCCCTTCTGAGCCCCTAGTTTGAGGGGTCAGTCCCTTTTTCTTGATATCAAATGAAAGGTCTTGTGATTTTGAAGACTTTTTGTTCAACAACTATTCAGAGATTTCTTTTCATTTTGGAGATATGCTGAATGAAAATATTTAGGGGCCACCCCTCCAAGTCCTTAATGGGGCCGTTTGACAAAAACTGAAAGGTGCATATTGTTTAGAACATTATTCTAACCATCTTTTGTTCAGTATTGCTTATCAAAATATTCCCCCTTTTCGAGATATAAAGCCTCAAAGATTTAGCATTCTGACCCCTTGTAACCCCTTATTACGTAACATATGATCAGAATCTTATCATATATTGTTGTAAGTCATTAAGATAAGCATCTTTGCTTCAGTAATGTATTACAAATTATTGATCGTTAAAGAGTTATAGATGAAAGACTTTTGACCCCTCTGAGCCCCTAATTTGAAGAATCAGCCCCTTTTTCTTGATATCAAATGAAAGGTCGTATCATTCTGCACAACTTTTATTCTATATGTTTTAACAAATTCTTAACATGTATGAAAATATGAAAGAAAAGGTGTAAAATTTTGTGAGATGTTTCTGAGACATTTCTTGAGCCCTACCGAGCTTCGGCGCCTTTTGTGCTAGAGAGATTTGGACACCTGCCTGCAAATCTACAAACCTTCCCCTACCTTCACTGAAAATCTTGACTCAATATCTTAAGTCGTTTCGGAGGAGTTTCCAGGACAGGCCGACCCTCTGAAAATCAGAAAATCCTTAATATCTCGAGATAGAAAGTGACGTCATCAACGAAAAAAATTTCCAATAAGGTTCAGATCAATACCTATCAGATCTGAGAGTTTCATGAAAATCCGCCTGGACATTACCGAGAATTCGCGTGCACAAAATCGGTAAGAATAATAATAATAACTAGATGAGATCTCGTTGCGAGCAACGAGTAGGTCTTCCGTCCGATTTCTCGATAAGATGAGATATGATTTTGATTATGATCTTTGTTAAAAGATAATAATATATAGACTTCCCTAATTAGATTTCATTCTTTTGATTTATATACCATTATCAAAGAGCTATAGATGACATACTTTTGGCCCCTCTGAGCCCCTAGTTTAAGGAGTCAGCCCCTTTTTCTTGATATC